GATGCTCTCGTGGTGCGAATTATCAACTTCATGTCCCATGGTACGAGATAGTTCTCGCACCCTTTCCTGGTTTATTAAGCTACGTGAGGAATCGGGGACAAATATAGCTTTCCACATGTAAATTCATATATTTATACCTTTAAAAGTTGAATCTGCTGCGCCCTTCCTTTCCAAGTTGCCGTTGATGAGTTACTCAAGCTTTCCGCGAGCGCCTTGCTCCTACTAAGAGCCGAGTCATCTCCAAATACTTCCAAAGCCAATGCCTTTTGCGTGTTTGCCAGCTCTGCTTTGATTGCGTGGATTCCAATGCGTTCATCTTCGAATTTTCTGGTCATTGAGCTGAGTTTGTCTTTCAGATTTTTGATTTCGGTAGTGTATTTGGATATCTCGGATGGTGTACTACTGGGCTCTTTGCCATTTGTTTCGCCTGATTTTTGACGGGATTTTTCGGGTTCGGTCAGCTTTTGGAGGGTCTGTATTCATGATTGTTTTTTTATTTTAAATTCTTTGTGTTTTTTTTTTAAATTAAGAACGATTCGTTACCTTCAACTTGTTCGACAAATCAATGTTTGAATTCCTTTCGCGTTCAAATGCCATATTCAAGTTTCTCAATTTTTTGGAAAGCTCAATGATCTTTGTTTCTTTTGGGTTCACTTAAACCGGATGTCAGTTCTTAATAAAAACAAGAAGAGAGAAAGAAAGAAAAAAAACAACAGAACTCACACTTGGGCGTCGATGATTTCAAAGAAATCGAGGAGTCTTGATGCTTCAGCGTCAAAGCGGGAAGAATACATGAAGCTGATTTCGCGTTTGGTGGTGGTTGTTTTGATTGATCTGTTTCCAGCTTTCCTGAAATGAATTAAACAACTCGTATAATTTTTTGGGATAAAGCAAAAATGTTTTTCTTCGCGTTACTTCAAGTCCGAGATCGCCGTCGTGACAGTTGAGCGGCGGTAGGTCTTCTTCAGAATCTGATGATGACATTTTTATAAAAAAAAAACAATTACCTAAAATGCAGAAATTCAGTAAGGTGCAAGAAGCAAGTGGCTTCCCCCAAACTGTGCACATTGCAAACTCGTACTTTATCGCACACACGTTCGTTGACGAAAGCTGTATGGTTAGCTTGTTGGCTAACTGGTCTCAGGGCGATTGGCACGATGCCAGCAGTGTTTCAAAGCACGCTGGCATGCTCCCTTCCAGAGTCCTTTTCGCGAAGCACTGCCGAGTTCTTTTATTTGCAGCTTTTGGCGCGCGTGGCAGCTTTGGATTCGGACTGGCTCAATTTGGCTTGGGCCACGTACAACTTGGTTAGAGCTTTTGAACAAATGCAATGCATTCAACCACGGCGCTGAATTTGGCTGATTGATTCAGAAAAGTGCTCTACCCGAAACGGATTTTGATACCGTTTGCACGGTTGCACGCAATATAGGATTAATGAGCCTTGTGGACTCGATTGTTGTTGATTCCGTGTGCCAATTCATTCAACACTGCGTCCATCACAATGTGTCGGAAATATTTGATGACAGTAGTCAATTGCAAATTTTTTTCGATTGGACCAAGATTCGCTTGGTTTCTTGGGCGCGTTTGGTTTTAGGCCCAAAGTCAGGTTTAAACACCAAAACCAATCAAAGTAACTGTGCGCTTATTTTTTTTCTTATAGAGCCTTTAATGGCTCAGATTGAATATCAGTTGTACAAAGCATTTTGTGATACAAGGTGACGGTTCCGTTCAACTAATTGTCATACTTACGGATTGATTCAGAATCAACAAACTATTTGATATCATTGTTGACTTCCCGAGCTCTGAACCAGCCTTGGTTCAACTTAAAGTAATGTTTTGTACCGGCGTAATTCCCCAGCTTCAAATAACGAGTGACTATTCACAGATTTGCGTCTTTGAAACAGATAGATACAACTATCTTAAGTCTTCCCTGAACAAAATGTGAGAGAAGTGTCATTTCTGGTTTCAATTTGTACTCAAGTTGTCCCCCCCGCTCCATTGTAGAATTTCTCGACGTCTTCTTCATCTTGGAGCAAATACCTCCGATATTGTGTCTATTTATGTTTCCTCAATCAAATGCTTGAACTACCTTGACTCTACTGGAGATTTGTTACATTTTATATCAACCCTAATTCGGCGTTATCTGAGGTTTGTTGGCGTTTGAACGGAAAAAAAGAGTTGCAGAGTATTCTAATCGGTGACCACAAGAACTCGCGAAGATTCCATGAAGAGTGTCATAAATTTATTGACCGGAGATGCAAAAGACGCGGAAGATATCAGCCTTGACGCGGTCCCTATTGTTGGCGAGTTTTCAGCAGTTGTATTGCACAAGGAGTCGAAAACCAAGATTCTCCAGCAACAACTACCCACGGATATTGCGACCACACTCATTCAGATATTTGATTCTCAGGAAGATTTCATCAAGGAGTTTGAAAGGCTTCTAGCGGAGCGGCTTATATCAAATCCTGATTATGAGATTGATCGCGAGGTAGAGAAATGCGGAAAAGAATTGTTGCTAACGCATATATTGCTTTTTTCTTAAGATTAAAAATCTGGAATTGCTGAAGAAGCACTTTTCTGAAGCCAAACTTCATCGCTGCGAAGTTATGATCAAAGATATTATGGATTCAAAACGCGTCAATACCAATATTTGCAATTCTCTCACGTTCAGCCAGGTTATTCGATACGTTTCTTTGTTTTCTCTCCCTTAAGAGTCTTATCGGTTTCCATTACAGCCTGCGGTGGCAATGAAGATCCTGTCCCGTTTGTTTTGGCCATGCAATAATGATGGGCAAAATCAACCAGAATGCGTTAAACGGTTTGAATTCGTGTTGTGTTCCCACCGAATAGCACTCACTGACTAGGAGCATTTTTAAGATTTATGAACGAATACAACACTCTTTACTCAAAGTTGAAGTCCATGCGATCCTTACGTCATTCGATGGATTATGGAAGCGTCGAACTCGAATTGGAATTTGACAATCGCGAACCTGTAGCATTCACAGTCACACCCGCACAAGCATCCATTATTGGCTTCTTTGAAGAAAAACGTGTGTCTTGTCTCATTTGCAAACTTTGTCTATCGACACTCACTCGTTTTTTTTTGTTACTAGCTGAATGGACTCTCCCAGAGCTCTTGCAAGTTTCAGGGAAACCAGCAGAACCCCTGGATCGGATTTTAAGCTTTTGGATGCAGAATGGAGTATTGAAAAAAGATTCAGATGGGATATTTTCTATAATAGAGAGTATCGAAGATCAGCAAGAAGGCGTTATGGAGGGTTTGTACTCTATCTGGTTTCTGGCCGTTGGTTTCTTAAAAAAAACCCATCTCCTTCAGAGTTAAACGAAGTTCAAATGATGGAAGAAAAGGAGGAAGACTCGATAGAATCTTTGCGTGATGCCATGAAACCCTACTTCCCGTTTATTCAAGGAATGTTAACCAACTTCGGTCAAACTCCAGTCGAGCGCATTCAACAAATGCTGACCCAGTTTGTTCAGTCGCCTAAATATTCGGAGAAGATTGAAACTTTACGCGCTTATTTGGATCTTTTAGTTGAAGAAGATGTCTGTGAATCAAGTGGGAACGGGGTTTTTTCTCTTCGAAAATAAAAAATGAAAACAAACAATCCAAAAAAGAAACAGCATGCTGAAGCGTCCGCCATCGGCCCTCTTTTTTGGATCCGATGAATTTTCAGTGATTTGCTGTAACAGGCTGCTAAAGGCCACCAGGGATGGCATTTTGTCCCGGTTGGAAATTGTAACTCCGCCTGATAACCCACGAACAAAAGTACCTGAAGGTGAAGCAACTGCTGAATGGTCCGCAAGATGGAACTAAATTGCCAGCAGTTCCGCTGAAAGCTTTCGCTCGCAAATACGATATACCACTGCACATCGCACCGCCAAAATCTTTGGTTGGGTGGACAGTACGTTGATAGCGAAACAACACGAACGAATTTATATATAATCCGATCCCGCAGCCTCCATCGCAATTCGATCTTGGAGTTGTTGTATCCTTTGGCTACTTTTTGCCAGCATCCTTGATCAGATCATTTCCTCTGGCAGCTTTAAATGTCCACCCCTCTCTCCTGCCGCGGTAAGTTCTAAGCCTTTTTCTGTTTTGCCTCAAAGTTTCTTTGTCTTCAGATATCGCGGCGCTGCGCCAATTCAGCATACTATCTTGAATGGAGATACAGAAACTGGGGTATCTATTATGGAGCTTCATGAGGAGAAGTTTGATGCAGGGCGTATTTATCACCAGTCCAAGATGGTGCGTGATTTGTCATGGCGAATGCTTATCTGAACGTAGATAAATCGACAGAGTATAGGCAGGTTACCATTTTATAAGGATCTACATGATCAATTGGCCACTCAAGGTGCAGAAGATCTGGTTACAACTATTTCCAACTTTGACGAGTATAAGGTAATTAGCAAGATTCGTTCTTTTATTTATTCAAATGTTGTGTGAAATGTAACGTTATTCTCAGATCAAGGCGTGGGCCCAAGATTTGACACAGGTTTCTCATGCGCGAAAAATCTCCAAAACAATGGCAGCCGTAAACTTCCAAACCATGGATCAACAAAGTCTTTTTACGTTGCATCGTGCTATTGGTTATAAGGTAGGGTGGTCTGCTTTGTACTTTGTTTTTGATGGCTTAGAACTTTCTTTACAGATACCATTATATTGCCAGTTTCGGGAAAAACGGGTCCAATTACACGATCTCTGTATTCCGACTACAGATCTTGTGCAATTCTTGCCGCAAAGTGACCCGGGCACGATAGTCTACAACAAGAATGTTGATATCGACACCATTTTTGTTATGTGCGCTGATACATGGATTGGAGTTAAAACTGTGAAAGTTCAGGGCAAAAGGGAGCAAAATGGGGCGGGATTCAATAATGGTTACCAACTTGGATCTACAGATCGTTTTGATACTGGGGAATAAAGCCTGCTTTCTGACTTGTTCTTCCCTCGACTCACGCCGAAAAATCTGAAGCGTACTCACCCCAGTCCGGGTTTGAACCGGAGACCTTCTCCTTAGGAGGGAGACGCGCTACCACTGCGCTACGAGGGCTTACTACACAGAACGAGTTTCTTGTAAATGATCGCCAAAACTAGTTACTCTGTTATGTGAATTTAAGCAACCTGAGTTCAGCCACGTAATCTGAGTGTTTTTTTCGGTCATGTGACGAGGTGGTCAAGCCAAACAAATATTTCTCCAGAATCTATGAAGGGATCCACTTTATTAAAAAAATCATTCACACCGTGTTTGATGTCAATTCCACCAGGAGTTGCCTGCACGAAAATCAGTTTAAGTATTGATACAAGTAAATAGCGAAGACATTCTTCCCCACCAGTCTGAGGGATTATCCAGCATCACTGACTGTTTCAATGCGGCAATTGCGTCGTCTTTGCGATTCACAGCAATACATGCTCTCGCCATGATCTGAAATGCATTATACTGAATATAACCAACGTGGAATCAAATCGAAATGAAATCAGAACGCGTTAAACCTAAAAGCCTAAAAAACCTGAAAACAAAAAAACAAAAGAAGCAGCTTCTCACATTCATGGGATCCAGCTCAACACTTTTCTCAAAGCACTCAATCGCCTTGGTGAATTCCTTCTTGTTGTAGAATCCAACGCCACAACGAAACCAGCCCAGGGAGTTTCTAGGAACCACACCGATTCGCAGTAAGAGCCATTCTTCTGAGGAGTTTTGTCCGCGAACAGATTCGTCGTTTGGCTTCATGCCATCGGGAAGAGCAGCCACTGACATGTTTTTGTTTTGACAGGTTTCTTTGAAAATAATAATAAGTCATAAAATATGAACTCCAAGAGCATCAGCGCGAGCAGCAACACCATGATAGCCGCGAAAACCATCCTCAGATGTAAATGCGTTATTCTCGGGAATCAGGGTGTGGGAAAAAGCGCGATAGCACAAGTATTCCACTCTGATGGGACTCAATATCCCAAAAACTATAATATGGTGAATAGCGGGGAGAGAGATCTTTGGTCCAGCTAAATAGATCCCATTTTTTTCTTCTTGGAATAAGACGGTGAACGCGGAAGTGAGCGTGAAAGTTGTGAATATTCCTGACAGCAATGTATCGATTGAGCTGTTTCTTCATGATATCGCGGGTCACGAGGTCTTCTTGGAATACTCGACCAAATATGTGAGTTTAGGTGCTTAAGGTTTTCAAAGAAAGAGTTTGGCACTCATGTCGCTCTGACAGTGTGAAGGAGCGTCTGTCTTTTTGATTGTATATGATGTCACAAACCCAGACTCATTTGCTGCTGCATCGAGATGGTTGCAAATCGCAAAGAGATCAAAGCTTGTAAAAGGAATGCACGGTATGCTTCTCGCGGAAGTAAAATTGCCGTTGAAGTTGCGTAGTGTGTAAACCCTAAAACTAAAACAGGAGCACTTGTGGCGAACAAAGTGGATCTAGAAGGAAGGAGAGTAGTATCATCAGAACAAGGAGAAGAGTTTGCAAAGGCCAATAAGTTAACCTATTTTGAATGCTCTGCTGTAAGTTGGGGATATCCACAAAAAACTTTTTACTGACTGTCACTCAAAAAGGCAAACAACCATGAAGTTGATGCACCAGTTCTACTATCTTTCAAACTCATTCTACGGTGAGGGTTATTGTGATCTTCTTCTTTATTTTATTAAAAGTAGTTTCTATGTTACATTCTTCAGATCACTTTGAAGCATCCATCAAGTCCTTTTCGAAAATCGACCACTAACTTTAGCCCAAAAGATCCATCAATTCTTGGTCGATAGGATCTATCTCATTCGATGCAGGGGGTGCGGTCGAAGTCTAAAAAAAAATATGTGTTTGTCAATAAAATGCAATCCAATCTCTATTTCTTCGCCTAAACTCACTGTCGCTTTCTGAGCAATCTCATTCTCTAGACGATAACATCAGCATTGAGCTGCATGAGCTTCTTGTGAGTTTTTGAAACAAACTGTGAAGCGATTGTTGTCAGTGCATGATTGGGGCCATTGTACTAATGCCGAATTCTCGTATATAAGAGTGACATCCGTTGAGAATTGATCAGCTGTCTTGTATTGCAGACTGCGTGCTCTCTGAAAACAAGGTGGTGGAGAAAAACGTCAGATCAAGCACCCTTTGCGAAAGGGAAGAAAAAAGAAACTCACAGCCTTGATATCTTCCAAACAAATGGGAGTTTTAACGAGAACGTGATAATCTGGAAACAGCTCTCTTGACACTGGAGAGCAAAAAATTTGCGATTCGGGCATTGCAATAAATCCAGAAACTATCATGTCAAATATAGCGCGATAACTCCTCTTCTGGAGTTGCAGGTACAGGCGCTAATTTACAAGATGTATGTCAGATCTGATCAACAGATAAAACTGTATCAAAAACAAACCAATTGAGGACAAAGAAAGCTTTAATTTCAACGGCCCGGCTGAAGCAGAGTTGGGACCAGGGACTGCAGGTGTTGTGTCCGTGATAACCTGATCTGGTAGTCTAGCCGAAAAAAATCAACACACAATAATGAGCAGAATTTCAACACAGATAGAAAAATCGTACTTCTTCTTGCGCGATTTTTTCGTGTCTTCTTCGGTAGGACCCGCCGTTGCCGCTAACGCCTGTTCCCGAATTTGCACTTGATGTCTCAAATACGCGTTGATGACACGTTGATCGCTGATCACTTCATGTTTCCAAACCAACTGACCATCCCCCATTCTTGTCAAACGTTTGATGACGAGCTTTCGGTTGCTTTTCGCAGATGCAGATGCGATACTTCCAGCAATAGACATGGCGTCGTCATCTCTTTCAACTTTGCGCGGCTGCTTATCATCGTCTTTTTGGGCTTTGGTTAGCTTGTCTTCGCCCTTAACGCCATCCTAGAAAAAAAAATGTTGGTGCAAGTCCAAAGAACTGGCAGAAAACGAAAAGCAAATACCCCATCTTCGTCAACATCATCGTCATCATCGCCAAGTTCTTCTTCTGTGGGCAAATCGGGTGCTTTCTTTGAGCTCAGCGATTTGAATTGAGCATTCCAAATACGCCGAATCTACCCAAAAAAGAATTTATACAACCATTAACGTATAAATCGAAAAGATGTAACTCCAATATATATACCTCTTCTTTGTACACCACTTGCTGCTCAGCATATGAGAAACGAACAAGGTTTTTAGGAGTCTTTAAGGCTGGCCAATGATGTAGTCAGTAAAGCTGGCGACTGAACACCCCACCAATTACCTGATGGAGGCGGTGCTTCTCCTTCACGATAAAACATTTCTTTCATGGATTGCCTGATGAAACTGAACCCTTCCCCACAACCAGTAGGATCTCCGCCTCCGTGCAATTGTACCATTCCCTTCCCCTACAAAAAAAAGAATCATAGCATGTAAGCTCGCTCAAGAACCACCATCCAAAGAAAATCTCACCGAAATCGTCATCACAAAGTTCTTTGTTGAAATCCATGGAGCCATCTGAATCTCCAAGTCAGTAGAACTCTCTTCTTGGTCTTCGTTATCTTCTCCAGCACCTCCTGGAGCCTTGTTGCAAATCCAAGTTTGCATATCCGATATCTTTCAATCGTTGTTCTCCATGCGAAAGCCGCTTCCAATAAGCAACACCATTCAGGAGTAATGATCTTTTGGAGTTCTTCCTCTGTTGGCAATGTTTTGGATTGCTTTACTTTGTACCATCCAGTGTTTTCGCCCTTTTTCCAGTTTTGGGCAACCTCCTGTGAGAGACACAAAATGAAAAAAAACAAAAAAAAAAAAAAAAAAAAATAGATTAGCGAATTTCATAGACTGCAATCTCTTCCTTTCTTACTCGGAGTCGCTGTCGGACAAGAGCATCTGATTGCCCAATATAAAACTTTTGTAGTTTTGGATACCATAACCGCTGGTTAGGGTTTTGTAGCATTAACCGGAAAGCGATTGAATGAAGTCGGAATTTGGTCAAGTTGAGGACTTTACGAGACTGGGGGCGAGGAACTTCTTGTTGAGGGTATGTTTGTCCAACTACAAAAAGGAATGGCTTTTTTTTTTTTGGTTTGATAGACCTGTCAGAAGGCTATGCAGATACGCTACAATTGAATAAACTTACGCAGTCTCGCAAATAGTATTTTGATTTGTTGTTGTATGTATAGCTAAGAAAGTTTAAAGGAGAGTGAGTCCTTGGAAATTACAATAATTGTGTAAACATACCGAATGAGCAGGAAATCTGTTGAGGGAATTTCGTGCCTGAATACTGGTGCACGGATCAGATTATTTGTGATTCCTTGTATCACTTGTCCTGGTGACACATCTCCAAAGTTATTGAAGGGGGAAGCATCAATCTTTTCAAGTGGGGTATGTTGGCCAATATCGAGCTGCAAAGAAAATCAATAAAATAGAATCAATTACAAGAATCCCAGATATCGTTGAATATTTGTACCTTTGGGGTTGTTAAATCCTTTTCATTTTGCTTTCGGTAAAAGTTCTGAAGCATAGTTCCCATTCCGAAATTACTCATTATGGGAGGGTACTCTTCCTGAAGAAAAGGGAATGAGGAAGAGGGTTCAGTCAGATTTCAAGAAATGACTGAAAGACCAAAAAAGAAAAGAAAAAGAGAAGCCTACAGTGTATTCGAGCAACACATAGTTTGTTGAATCTTTTAGAGTTAAATTCATGTAATCGCTGATGGGATCAGTTCCATCCTTCTTTTTCTTGGCCCCTTTGACTCGAGCAAACTTGATTTCCTCACCAGCAGAGAATTTGATTGGTGGCCGATGGAAATTACGTAATTCTTGGGTATTGAGGTGAGTTTTATACTGTGAAAGAGAGGTTAGAGGATGACTTCAAAAAAAATAAGAGAGAATATAAAATTACATGTGGGAACATCATTTCAATCGCGGCTCTAGAATGTTTCAGAATCGCGTTTCCTTGAGTTTGACGAACTTCTTCGTGCTTTCGGGCATTGACATAGTATTGATCGTTTGACAGGTTATACTTGTCAACCAGGAACAAGTTTTTGACGACACGAGTAGTGGTTTTGGGGGCTTTTTTTTGAGAAAGTATTCAGTATGGAATAGTAAGTCGAGAGG